TTCTTAGTGAATGAAGAAGTTTCAATCGTACAGAGCAGACTGATTAATATTAACTATGCCCTAGAGTACGCTATATCCGGAGACGGTCCTTTGACAACCTTAGGATTTAATGAAGCACTAGGTTTTATTAATACCAAATATGCGAATGCCTCCGACGATTTTCCAGACATACAAATACATATGTGGTCAACGGGGGACTACTCCGAGAGCACTAGAAAGATTTTTGGATTGACGAGAGAATTCTATGATGCCGTATATAGAGATGTTCACAATAAGGACGGGTGGAGTGTGTATCCTACCCTTTTAAGACCTAAAAGTAGAGGAATTATCAAGCTTCGGAGCAACAATCCTTTCGATCACCCATTGATTTATCCAAATTATTTCAAGGAGCCAGAAGACATGGCCACATTGATCGAAGGAGTTAAATTTGTACTCGAGATGAGTAAAACTGTTTCGCTTAGACGTTACGGCAGCAAACTGAATCCGAATCCATTTCCTGACTGCAAGCATATCCCATTGTATAACGACCTGTACTGGGAGTGTATGATCAGATCTTTCCCCTTAACTATATCACACCCCGTGGGTACTTGTAAGATGGGGCCAAAGTCGGACCCAAAAGCGGTGGTTGATCCTTGGCTTCGAGTTTATGGAATTACTGGACTTCGAGTTATAGACAGTTCGATTATGCCAAATTTGATCAGTGGCAATACTAATGCGCCGACTATTATGATTGGTGCCGACATGGTAAAAGAGGATTGGTTGAAGAAATAGGGTTTGGATTGATTGTTACTTTTGTAAATTTGTTTTAAGCGACTGCTAGTAGTATATCATTACGTAATAAAGACGTGCGGTTTTGAACTGAAAATAAATTTTCATTATTTGTCACGTATGGAGGAGCGCAATTCAAGATACAGTCTTGTTGTATAAAATTGGAGGATCAAACGAAGTTAACATTAGTGAAGTTCGATTGTAATTATATGAAGAAACCTCCTTCGAATATATAACCTAATACTCCATCTGTCCTCTAGATATCATGAAGTTTAAAGTAATACGATCTTGTGTACTTTATTATGGTAACAAAATAGTTTCGTACATGTATAACAATATAAACTAAGTGTTATGCAATAAAATGATAGCGTAATTTGCCTTTATATTGTAATGTATCATGCGAACGTAAGTTAACTTTGATATAGTCGCACCTCCAAGGGGAAGTGTAGTAGAATGTTATAGTCTGTTCAACGAGACGAGGCAGTAAACGTGAGCAAAATGTGATTGATACAGTTGCAACTATTGGCTGCCGATTAGTGACACTCGAGAAATTAACATTTTGAATAATTTTGTTATACATGTATTTGTTGGCCTGAAACTATTGTTCCTACTGAAAGAAGCTATTGATACCACTACAGTAAATTTTGCCTATTATCGTCAAACTTACAATAAATTATGCTTTTTTCAACATTTTTTATGTAGAAAGTCAAAAGGAACGTAGACTTCAACATCTTTGTTACTTTTGCAAATACAAACAAATATATGAGGAAAAGTTTCTAAAAAATACTTAAAAATGGCATACTTTCATCGTCGCATCATTGTGGCTAGTAGAAAACGGATTTCAAACACATAGATTGACGTTTATCTTGAAATGAGCTTGAGGAGAAAAATTAGTAATTTGTAGCGAAGTAAGAAGTTGAACGTCTTCATATTTCTGCCCCAAATTTGTATTATTTTGCAAGAAATGTTCTATACGATCTATCATTACTTTGAAACATTCCAAATGTTCCGAATAAATATCACGAACTACGTAAGTGTTACAGAACCCATAAAAATAAGGAATTCCACTGTACTTACGTATTGTCGAACAGAATCGTACCGTGAATTGTAAGTAAAACATACGTTGCTATGTCTTGTTCACATTGTTCCCATGTGATGTTATTGTTATTGCTAGTGCAACGAAGTAGCTGTGATTCGGTGTAGCTACATACGGTGTAGTCAATGTGAAAAAAGCCTGCTCTGAACTTATCACATTTTTGATTCTTCGTTACACATGGCACTGATTATAATATACAGGACGTCTCGCAGCATCGGAAAATGGTTTCAGCGGTGAATTTTGCGCATGAAAACAATAAACAGTGCTCATATGAACACCCTATTTGACCTGATTTTCGAGTTTTAGCGAGTTCTATGTTGAAGTAACTTTATCGGAAGATGGAAGTAGTTGAACTAATTTCACCTACCTATTTGCGAATAGAATTCGGTATTCTCATAAACAATATCTGGACAAATGGAGAGGGCAAGAAGAACAACAATAAAACGTCTGTAATCTCGTGTTCAAATGCAAAGAGTTTATTATGAACACTTCTTAAGAAGGCATGTAGATAGAATTTGTTAACTTATTGTAAATTTTTATTTAAAAATTTAATTTACTGTAACTCGAGAACGAAGAAAAATAGGGCACGTGTTTGCAAGAAAGTTTTTTATCGTTTTCATGTGCAGAATCCACAGCCGCACCGGTTCCCTGATGCTACGTGATACTCTGTACAAATAAGGAATACAATTGTATAATCATTATACAGATTGATTATACAGTATAATGAACAGCTTGAAAATGTAGAATATATAACATTCATTATAAGCTTTCCTTGTTTAAGTAGAAAGATTAGAAATATATTGTAGAGATACATAAAACCATATTTGGTTAATAAAGGATATATTCTATGTACAAACATTTACAGTATACCATATCCAAACGTAGTTCGAACTTCGGCTGACATAGATAAAAATAATTCACATTCAGTATCGGATCCAAGAGCCCAGTTTGCTCTGTATTCTGTTCTTATTTTAATAGTCCTTCGATTAGTGTCGCCATATCTTCCGGTTCATCGAAATGATTTGGATAAATCAATGGATAATCGAAAGAATTGTTGTTCCGAAGCTTGATAACACCTCTGCTCTTAGGTCTTAAAAGGACAGGGAATACGGTCTACACCTCCTTATCCTGAATCTCTGCATATACATACGGGATCATAGAATTCTCTGGTCAGCGCAAAAATCTTTCTACTGGCGTCGGAGATGACATCCGATGAGGTAAAATGTAGTTGTATGTCTGGGCAGTCATCGAAGGCATTCGCATATTTGGTATCGATAAAAGCTACTCCTGCAATAAAGGTGGTCAAAGGACCGTCTCCGGATATGGCGTATTCTAATGTTATGCAGCCTGTTCTGTATGATTGCAACTTCTTCATTGACCAATAACGTAAGGCTCCCCGCACTTGTAGGTTCTTCAAGATTATGGCCTACTCTTAAATCCTGAATTGTTGGTTGCTAAAAAATGGATTCGGATTCATTTTGCTGAATCTTGTTGCTAAATACTAAAAATGAAACAGTTTTATTCATCTCGAATACAAACATTTTACCATTATTAACAAAAAATATTATAATAGAAAATTTCACGATATCCACCTACTTTATAATTTATAGTTTACCTTATAATTGAACTAAACGAAATTAGACGTAAGTAGCATTATATTTTGTGCGAGAAATTAACAGAAAAATATCAATTTCTATTATAATTTTTGAATAGATAGACATTTTGAAATACAGTTTATGTAGTTTAATTTACCACCAAAAAAACAAGCAATTTTTTGCATACAACGTTTTCTTCTGCTACATAGAGTTATATTGAGAAAATATTGAGAAAAATGCATTTTTCATCTCCAACTTCAGGGGCAGTTTCATTCTCTAAACGTAAATGATCGCCGATAATAAAAATACAGGTCAGATATTTTTTCGAGAACTATATTCCGTATAAATTTCATCAAAATCGTTTTGGAAATCTCCTTTGCTAGTGTTATTTATGCAAAAAGGCTCGTTAGGTCAGATCAAATTCATCCCTATAGCTCTATTGTGTAAACTAATATGATGTTCTATAAAATTACACTTAAAGTACCTGTTAAAGGCTAAGGCTAAGGAAAGATACGATTGATGCAATAAATAATGCATATTTTCATATTAAATAAAAAATGGTGCCATTCATTTCTTTTCCGTAACATTTTTTTCTAATATTAGCCGAAAAGAAGATATGGCTTGCTACAATTACGTGAATTACCCTATGTACCAAGATAATACGATACCGGATAACGAAGAGAAAAGAATTATAAGATATACCAAAAGGGATCCTCTTTATCTTACTCAAATACATCGACCTACTTATTTCGATCGTTTGAAAGATTAGATAAATCGAAGATAAATTTGTAACATTTCTATAAAACAAAGCATCAGAGTATCTTTATTTTATTTATTTTCTTATTTTCTTCTGTTATTTTTAAAATTAATCTTAAATTATCAATTTGTTTTAGCATTAGTTTCCTTATTTTCAAAGAATCGAAGAAGTTATTGACGAATGAAAACAAGTATTAAGCTCCTATCATCCAGCTCGATTCATCAACTTGAAGACTGTGAGAAAAAGACTAAGCTTCGTCATCTTCAGTTGTCTCGGTGTACCACCGATCTAGCAACCTTTAACTTTTATCACTGGTATAAAGCCTTTCCTTCCTGTTCGTGGTTTCCTTTCTTTCTTGTTTCTGTATTTCTCTAGATCTCCGTTCTCGTTTTACTTTTATTTTATCTTTAAACGTCACCATTAATACTACGGCCTTATCTCGTTCTTTCCCATTGTTTTTCCTCTTATCCCAATACTGTCATTCGGATATTTTTGTTTCATTCCATTTCATTTTCCTGCTACTTAATTTTCCTTTTATTTATTTTTTTTATGTTTCCCTTATTTATTATTTTTTTTTTTTTATAATTCCCTTATTTCAATTTTGTTCTAACACGTTTTCGAAAGTCGTTCTCCGCTTATTATTTCAACATCTTCGTTGAAATTCATCTCAAGTGATTCCAGAAGGACATCTCGTAATAAATCACTACGCATTTTGTTTCCCTTGTCTTGATTAGTTTCATTGTAATTTAAGAAGAAAACGAGATCTTCGAGCCACATAATATACAGAAACGTAACAAGTTCCGTCGCGATTAGAAGCTTCGTGGTTGATCCAACGTTGTTAACGCGATCTGCGTTATCTTGTTTTTATCAATTACTCCTCCTGCAATTAGTCACGTCGTCTTCAAAGAGTCAAATATTTTTGCTGCATGTTTTAAGAAAATGTTACAAAATGACAAATTATAGGAAATATTCTTAACACATTCGCAGCCGGCAACTTGGTTCTACGTCATGTCAAAACCTGCGGCTAGTTGCTGTTAACACGGTTCTACCATATCTTGTTTCATATTCACAATGAGTTACGCGCACCTTGCAATGACTAGTACTTTACTATTTGTTGTTACATGCTTCTCTAAATTATTAATGCTATAATATCGCAGTCATAAGCCGCATAAGGTGCATTACATGGCAGTTTGGAAACTGTTGGATGGCCTGGCAAACAGATCTCTACAAAGTTATTTTATATCACACCATGATATGACACAGCAAAATTTTGCATATTCGCTGGCAATCTAACAGCGAAATTTTACGACGCTTCAGCTATGGACTCTTGGAAATTGTAAACGGCGAACAACTAAGACTCCCGTGTCAGACTCATCGGCTGCGAATGTGTTAAAATGTCCCTTTTTCTTTTTTACAACTAAAAGAATTATGTTTGAAATAGATAAAGAGAACTACGGAAATATATAAAACTATTATAAATATTTCTTTCTAGCTCTTTTATTTCAAATATTTATTCAATAATAATATCGTTATCTTGATGGAGTCTGGTAGATTTTTTCTGTATTTTAAGCTTTCAGTTTACATTTACATTCCCGTTCGCCATTTTATTTTTCCTTGCATCAACGTAAATTCATGTCTGCATGTAGCAGTTTCGACATAAATCGATGCCGGCGGATTTTCTGATGGCGTCATTCTCTGATCGCATCGTAAGTGGAATTTATTACACTAGTTGTAAGATATATAAATACCTATCCATCCTGATGAATTAATGGATCCTTTATCATTAGTCCGAAGAAACGTTTAAAACAATATCCAGCGTGTTACGTTAAATTGTAATTCTTAGAACGATATATTACATCATATACATATACACATATACATACATATGCATATATATATTTCATTTTATAAGGAAATAATACAAGCACAATGTTTTTTGTTTTATGTTGGAAACGTTGAAACGTTTTATCGATCCTAAAAATTAAAGAAGGCTATGTAAATTTTTATATAACGTGTATATGTATACCTGTGCGAAGTATATAAACAGAAAACTACTATGATTACCGTTTCAAGAATCTTGGGGTTACGATAATTCTATATGAAAATTCTCAAGCGCATATTTCTTTTAAGCTCAAAGTCACCTGCTCTTATATGTATAACCTGTATTCTTGCTTTCCATATTTTCCACGCCGCAAAAGCTGCTTGTTTCTTCTCTGATCATATCAACGCTTGTTTGCATAAAGCAACGTTGTTTACTGTTTTTATTTAAACACCCGAGATTCAGCATGTTTTCGACAGAAGTCCATAATGTTTGTTTCAGCTTTCAGAATACATAAATTTCAGTATGCGTATAATCCAACTGATTAAACATGCACACGAATTTCATATTTCTCCCACGTTACTCAATTTTTGATGTCCATTACGCCACACCATCTATCATTACGCACTCTCTAATGCCTGATTCTGGTCTTCAGTTTCAGCGAAACAGATAACTATTAGCAGTGTTTTTCAACAGCTAACTATTAATTCGTTATTTCAGGCTTAAAAAAGTCTATATTCTATAGTAGCTGTTCTAAAATTTCGTCGTTTCAGTTCTAGAATATATGAATTTTTTGAATCCAATTACCAGAATCGTTCGGTTTGAAACATTATCTTTTCTGTATATTTTCTCATAAGATGTTCATCTTATTGTTAATAGCTTATTCTATAACAAAAAATCACTAGCTTTGTTGAATTTCACCAATGCATTGAATCGTTTTAACGTTTACACGATCGTTTCTAAATTCTAGATTTATAGTTCTTTCAACTTCTGTAATAGTTCTCCCAAGTTGTCTTAAAACTCCTAAATACTTTATTGTTGGTAATGGTTAATGACGGAGATCATAATATTTCTATTTTCCTTAGTGTTTAATTACTCTGTATTATATTAGTCGGTAATTAATAGTTGCCATTTGCAATAAAGTACCTAATTTTCTTTTAGTGACAAGTGATGACAAAACAAAAATTTATGAGTGGTATTGTTTTACCAGTTTCAAACTTAGGAGACATAATATTTTATACGCACTATCATTCTATTAAATATCATTATCTCGTTGTTCTGTTCATAAAACATAATTAATTCTTTTCATAAAGATTCCTTTCTCCGTACAAACATGCTTTTATTGTAATTCCATTCCCCTTTTTACATTTCAAATAATCTTCTTTACTGTATTTGTATTTATACACATTGACGATTTCTATTAATTTATTAATTTCTTTATTATCTTATTATGCTTCACATTCTGCCCATATATATATGTAAATTCTATAGAATTTAAACTACCGACCAGCCGACA